TGAAAAACCAGCGTCGGAAGGAAAATTAGCAAAACAAGGAAGAGGAAAACAACAGACGCCAAAATTGGATACAAGAAATCATGTAATTCATCTATATCAAGCAGATAAGCTTTGCCTATATGAATAACAGTCATATTGAAATCCCTATATATGAAGTTTTAAAAACATGCAACATTGTATATGTTTACAGATGATATCGATAACAGGTTTACAAAGCATTCCATCCTAAGTGGCGAGTGTAATTACGGTTGGATGTGAAATTAAAAATAAAAATAACAACAGCAAAATAAGAAGATTGAAGTTTGTCATAGTCGTATAATAATTCATTATCCATTCATAAACAGAAACGTAATTTTTGAACTGGCATTTTGTACAATTGATTACTATTTGTGATTATTTATGTGATTGAGTATGTACATATAGTGATAATACTTAATAGTGAATACTGTTAATGAGTTTAACTAGTATCATGTGCTATGTTTATGCTGATAAACACTTTGACATCTAGTTGGACCAGCTGTTTGGAAACATCACGTCACTGTACAGCATGTGAATATTCCATGCTTTGTGTTTAAGTTTGTGTTTGCTGGACATTAACTGGACCATACTGGGTTTGTTGTTGGAACAACACAACAGTCATCATTGATGCCATGCAGGGGTTTCGCCAGAAAAACAAAATAGACGGCCTATTTTGTTTTTCCAAAATGGAAGCCAGTGGGCGTGGCACTGAGCCGATGGCAGGCCACGCCCGTCGTTAGTAATCCCCATCGATTATTGGTACGAAAACGTACATTCAATCAATAAATGTTGTTTTTATCAAACGTAAATATGATTTACCTTTAGTTTAATGTAACATTCGATAGATTTGAAGCTGTCTCTTATACACATCTAGATGATTTGAAGAATATATAAAGAATTTGCTAAAGGTAGACCAGGCCCAATTAGGCTAGGCCGAGCTGATTAGGCCAAGCCGTCACGGTAAAAGTTGCCGTCCTAAATAATTGTAGACCGAAAGGTCCACTGATTAATCTCAGATAAGAAAGTATAATACATACTCCAAGTATTGAAATACACGCCATCGTGTCATCATTCCTGATGATGACATAATTAATGTCAAAATATTGAATCCCAACACGATAGCGTGTATTTCAATACTTGGAGTATGTATTATACTTTCAAATAGTTTATACATGGCACTTTTGGTGTCTATGAGAGTAAATAATGAAAGTAAAAGACGGCCGGACGGCTCGCTCACTAATACGCATGCACTATCTCGCCACTATATTTCAAGTAATACATTTATCTATGCTGTCCTACCTATGAAAATTTATCTTTTAAATTTTATTTCGTGAAATATTGCACACAGGTAAGAAGTGAACATGCCACAGTTTTAAACTGATGGGCGCAGCCATGATTGTTTTCTTGTCTCCGGTCACCACAGAGCGGTTCCTCCTTGTTTCTCTTTCGCGCTGTGGATGTCTACTTCCAAAGTGATGGAAATACCAACGCGCTGATTGGCCGACTTGGCTTTTCTGCACAAAGCATGAGACGTAAGCATCGGATCGGAGTTTAGTTTGCTAATATAAACCTAATCCCGAGTAAATCTTAATGCTTTGCATCGGCTGTACCGTGTATGCAAATACACTCTTTTTATACTACTACTTTAAAACTAGGCCTTTTCTAGATAGAAGCAAGGACTAGACTAGGCCTAGACGGGACGATGATGGAATGGAACTGCAGGGATAAGCCCAGTCGGCTGGCGTTCGGACGGATGGTAAACAAGCCTAGGCCTATATAAATTGCCTTCGGGAGATGGAGTTTTTGAGTNNNAAAAAAAAAAAAAAAAAAAAAATTCAGGTCGGGGGCTTTTCCGACGGTCGGGCGGGGATGCTAACCAATTGTTTTATTTTACGTGGCCTTATTAAGAACTTAATTGTTTTGATTTGTGTCTCAATGGAAATTGATAATATAAAGGAAAAATTAATTGGTTTTTATTTTTTTATTTTTGAGGTGTTTTCATTTGTCAACAGTAGAACAGACATTGAATATACAGGTGTACATGAATTATTGTTGATTGTGTAAAGAAACCTGTTTTTTAAGCTGCATTTGCTTCACATTTCCAGTACGATGAATGCCAGAATCCCTAATTGAATTGACCATCAATGTTTGGCTCACATAGCTCAAATATAAAAGTTATAAATGCTCATAAGAGGCTCATAAGTCTATATAAGTAATTTAGATATTGAATTATATTTTTCAAGTTCATTAAGCTCAACACAAAGAGTATAGGCTTCACATTTTTTTGCAGGTCGATGTTTCATTCTTGATGGGACTGTCACGGATCATTGACCTCACAGACATCAACCTCTATGCAACTATTATGTGCATCTTCTTTAATCCAGTTTTCTGGAATGTTGTAAGTCATTTAATAATATTAATAATTGTTGACTTATATAGAGCATATTGTAGACTAACCTCCATGCGCTCCACGCTTAAATTTTTGTAATAAATTTCTAAATCAAATACTTTCAGTTGTATATTTCATGTCCCATCATGAAGACAGAAAACAAGTAATTCTATTAATGATTGAAAAATTAGGAGGCAAACAAACATGGGGTATCATCTATATACATTTACATGAGACACTAGGTACCTTGTAGTAGAGAGTTATCAGGGGTGCCAAGTTGGATCTTGGTAAAATGAGCTTTTAACAAACCTAATTTTATTTTTCTGCACACCATGATACCTATCGTCACCAATTTCTCTGAGACAATTGGTAAATAAAGTAACGTGCAAATATTATGAATTTGTGGAGGATGGGTCATTTTCTGGGAGGTTTCACATGCATGTGGGAGGCCGTCCAAATTTCTGGGAGACTTGCAGCGTTCTCCCGACGCCGGTTTAGCCGTCAGTTTTACCGGTAAAAATAAACGGCCGACCGGTAAAATTTTGTTGGTTTAAAAAAAAAAAACCCACTGAATTAGGCCTAGCCCGAGGCCAAGCTTAGTATAGGAACGGCCTTCCTTCTTCAGGCCTCGAATCATACATTAGCTATAATTTATCTCCGGTTTCACCAACGAAACTTACAAACCTTGATTAAAAACCACAATACTGTTCGTTGACAAGACAAGACAGCGATGAATGACCTCTCGCAAACTTTTGATCGATCGACTCGGATAAACAAGCAAGCATCGCAAAACTTTCATCTCTCCCCTAAGCTGCAGGAATTTGTGCAATAGACTCGTAATCCAGACGAATTTTAAAACTGGTGGAGTTGTAGCAGTTTTTCAATACGTCTGGAATGAGAGTCTGAGTTGTATAAATTCCTGTAGCTTAGGCGGACCATGGAGGTATTATTGAGAAGGTGATCACAAATGAACCAAGATCAAAGTTGCTGCAGCGCGTAAAGAACGTTTGCGCGATGCCTTTGAAGTCCTATGTGTTCCCCGCCATCAAATTTTCAGCAGGCATAGTTGACCAAAAAATTTAACATGACGAAATGGAGAGCACCTTCTTTCCTCAATGCGCACTACATACTGTCAATCACTATGGCTGCGCAATCTTTTCAATTTTGAAGCTGATACATTTATCTCTCATAAAATATCAAACATAATAATATTTTCCTCCAACAAAAGTTTCGAATTTAATGGAACATTTACATGACCTATAAAAGTATAGTATATTTCAACTTCAATTTTCATAAATTGGCCAAAATTCACCAATTCTAATTTTAACAGATATTAATTAATAAATGATTAAGGATTATAATAAACTAAGTCATTTTAGGGTTAACAAGGGTTAACTATTCGAAAAATGAATCCAAAATCTGAGTATTTTTCAGTTTTA